TGGTACCCGCACGTGAACTCCACTCTTAAATAGGTCAAAGAGAAGATATACATGTATCTCTAAACAATAAATTTTCAAGGATATAGAATTTTTATTGATAACTTCTATGAAATTATTTCCTGTAAGCAAAAGAGTTTATCGACTTCGTTTTTCATATTTTATTTTTCAAAATTCAGTTTAGCTTAAAAATGGTGTTTTTTTTTTTTTTTGTTTTTGCAGTTTCAGTTCCTGAATTCACGTTTAGTAGATTCAGAACATATTACTTTATTCATATAAGATGATATATTTTATAAAATAAAATTGTTATGGAAGAAACATGTACTGTATCAATTTTTACCAAACAATCTTTGTTTTCCTATTGCTGAAATATGATTTTGATATCTAGAATAGTATTTTCTCAGACATTTTCAACAAGATCTATAATAATAACTCTCTCATCGCGCATTTACTGATGTGAAGTTTTCAAAACAATTTTTTTTTAAAAAGGACTAAATTGATTTAAAGCCATTAGGGGTTCTAAAATTTAAAATATTGAAAAAGTTATTTTATTTATTTATTTTTTGAAAAATGCGCGAAAACTTTCTTAGCCATAGTAGAACTACTTGTAGATAGGTGATAAAATTTAATATTAATCCAATGCTACAGCGTTGGATAAATATTTTGAATTTATTTATATTGTTTATATCTTTATGTATGCATGTATCTGTCTATCTGTAAATACAATGTTATTCATCTATAATAGGTCTATGATATAGGGGAGATCGGGGCAACTTCGGCATGCGGGGCAAGTTTGTCAACCACTTTTTTTAAAAAACAAATTAAAAGGAGACTTTGGTTATAGGTTAGGCAGTTGAGTTTTATTGGTGGCTTGTTGAGTGTAGTGTTTTTATTGTTCTCCAACAAGCGTAGTTGAATTATCAAGCAAATTTTCATTTTCGTTCAATTCCATATAATATTTTTTTTCCATTTATATTGAATTGGCAGGTTTTGTTATAATTCCATGATAACGAAAGTTACTTTTCCTGTTAGAAGGATGTAACTTCAACTTATTCACGTGGCCAGATCGTGGCTTGGCATTCTGTTCTCAGGGTTGTACTTAATGTTTCGAAATCATGACTAGCGGGGTAAGATCGGCAACATAAAGCCACATTAGAAGCAAAGGATAAAAATCAAACAGATGATAAATGAAAACATGTTTGCATTTGTTATTCATGTATATATGTCTTTGAACTTGCATTTCGTTGTAATAATATTAAATGGGTGTTGGATTTGTATTTCTTTGTTTTAATAGTGAATTCCAACTTATACATTGTTAATAACATAATTTTATATACGTGCCTATCTTGCCCCATTACTGTTGCCCCTATACCAGGGGCAACTTTAATAAAAATAATTAAAATAATTACAACTTTACAAAAAGAGAGAAGTTGCCGATCTTGCCCCTATACCCGGGGCAACTTCGTCAATTTCTCTCTTCTTGTAAAGTTGTAATTATTTTAATTATTTTTATTTCCAAACTGATTTTAACCAGTTCTATAGTAAGGTAACATTCCAATAGACAATATGCAAAGCTTTTTTTTTCAGTTTACAGCAGTATTTATTACACAGAATTTAAGTAAAGCTTAACATGCCGATCTTGCCCCGATCTCCCCTAGTATTATGTTGTATGATTTATAATTGCCCTTGTTTACACAATTAGAAAGAAGTGGTGCTTAAATAAAAAACAAAACAATTCCTTTTTCTAGAGAGGTACTAATTAAATATGTAACCAGCCTCAATTTTACTCAGTACAGGTATGTCAGACCAGCAAATAGGTGCGAGTAGATTTACTCACTAAAAATATCACAAGAAATCAGATCAAATGCAAACTTCACACGGATTTAGAATAATCCATTTCCGCTTAACCATTTAATCAAGTTCTTAAAAATAATTTCATCTTAATTTACATATATTTTGTTAATTATAAGTGACAAGTGTTTATAATAATTGAATATGTATACGTCTAGTTATTAATATATAAATTAAATTTAAATATTACGTTTATGTTCGTAGACTGTATATAAACTTTTCCAGTATGAATATCTAAAAATGTTATTAGTGATAACCTTTATTTAAATTCTGTTTTATATATAAAATTTAAATTAATAGATGTTCGTGTAAATTATGTTTTTGTATACACTGGTAAATAGATTTTAATTACAAATATAAAATTTATAAGGCTAAATAAAATGTGAAGTTTTAAAAACTATTCATAATTTACTTTCCTAAATGTTCTCAACTTCATCTATATAAATCATTTTAAGATGAGTAATTATGTCTCAAGTATCCATGAAAAGTAAACTGGCTATTAATTTACAATAATATATATCTAAGAATAAAAATGATTATAATTTTAATAACTCAAGTTAGAGTTAGTGTACCAGATTGTTAATAATAAATGTTGATATAACAAATGATGATTAAATAAGGAACAGTACCCGTTAAGTTATTGTATATAATCTGTAGAAGAAATCATAAAAGATACTGATAAACTCTCACACTCATAAAGAACTGTGGACTACAATAATATAATTACGATATGTTGTTTTACATTAGAATTCTTTTAGAACATGAAAAAATATCTGTAAAAATAAAATAACCCATAGAAGATCCTGCGAATATTATTAAAATAATCCGGTTTAATTCAAGTTAAGAAACAATTAATTCATTAAATATCTGGATGAATTTAATTCGGTTCGTAACCTCAGTATAATGTTTATATTAAAGAAGACAGGAGTAATTAATGAGGTAAATAAAAATAGGGAAAGAGGTTGAATAGGACAAGTTTTGGAATAATTAGGATAGCAGTTGTTACTTAACTGGAATCATTAGTTGTTTTCGATCTCTTGGGGAGACGAGATGTGCAAGCAAAATGAAGGCAACATCAGGGTGTATTATGAAGTTAAGACGACTTGTGCCCAAGGGTGAAAGACAGTTTAAAACATGATAAATCAAGAAAATCCCAGCAAAAAGAAAACTATAAAGTGGATTATTTTACGATTTATAAGCATGATAGCAATATATTTAAAAAAATTTTTGTTTATCGAAGCTGATGAATATTCATGAAAATGGATAAATATCTTTTGACAGTTAAGAGAATGAATATATAAAACTATATCTTATTATATTTAGTCTAAACGTTAGCTGTCTGTCACATTCTATATCTCAAGAACACGATAAAAGCATTTTGTTTCCACATCTAAAGATACCTTCGAAAATAACTAGAAAACATTTTTGTATATTTCAAACAAATCACGATTTTTAAACGAATAGACTACATGATTATCTTCCATGTTATTATGTACTGTACACCTCTAAACGGAAAAGGGAAGTGTCGCATACAAATTAATATAAACTTTGATAGCAATTTAAATTATCTTTATCATTTAAACTTAACAGTAAATATAAATGGTAACAATCTGAAAGTGTTTAAAATCTAATATTAAAAAAATTATACATATTTAAATGTTTTTAATACAATTTTAAATAAAGTTAAAATACAATCATGTACGTCCGTGGTTCTATAAGATTATTATAGAGAATAAGGTTATAATATATTGGAAAACGAGAAATTTTGCGGGATGTTGGTATAATCTAGTGGGAAAATTTGGTTGATATAGAGGAAAAGCTTGTTAAGGACTTAGTAACATGATCTGATGTCTCTTGTGTACAAAGCGATTACACCGTACACAAGAGACCGTACAGTACAAACACTGTTGCCTGCTTCTAAAATTTAAAGTTTTTCTCTAAGTTTAAAAATAAATATCATCCAACAAATGAACAAAAATAATAACATATACGAATAATTACTTAATAAACATTTTAATTAATAGTGTAAGTGTACAGAATTTTTATCTATTTAGTCGATACAGATACACTATATAGCTTTGATATATGACTGTACCATAATATATTTTAGGTATATTAATGTAAAAACGAACAATTTTTAATCATACTTTTAATTTATTTAATTTAAAATATATGCTCTCCACCTCAAATTATTGTCTTGCCCCTGTACATCATACTTCTCCTGTTAACAATGGAGTCATGCCGGTCATCTATGTGGCTCCTTTCAGGGAAAATTTTTNTATTTATTTAAAAAAATTTTTGTTTCTTTATCAATTTTATCTATTTGTAAGCATATATATTATTGTTAGAAACACAAATGGATATTTCGATTTATCAATGTTATTCTGTTGCTATGGTGACCAGACGTAATAATTTGGATGGAAATAAAAAATATATATAATAATAATAACGGAAGTAAAATACTATTTAGTTTTTCAGTAAAATTTCTCTCTTGTTATATTATCATAATAAAATAGATATCCTCTGACTCTATAAATTATCGCATACAATCTGATATCAAATTTTCGGATATAAATATGGATGGGTAGAATTTCGTCACGATTTTATAAATTCACTTTACATGTGATAAGGGAATTGTAAGTTAGATACACGAAAAATATTATTTACTTTCTTAGAAATACTACGAGAGCATTCAAATAGCCAAATCATTAATCCGGTGCTAGATTTATTTTGTTTAAAGGTAAAACTATATAGAAATATTTGAAATTTTATCAGGAAAATGAAAAGAAATACAGTATCTAATTTTATTTCTCCCGTGTAGAAATATTTCATTTCCAAAAATAGGTCAATCGTAACAAAACATTGTATCGATTTTCAATTATATGTATTTAAACAAAAAAAAAAAAAAAAAAAAAAAAACAGCGTAAGAAATGATAAACTTTCGTGGTAAACAATATCTACAAATAGATTATTCTCATAAGAAATTATTATGATTATCTGTATTTCTGGCGTGTTCGTCGGTGTCGAGATCTCACGTTATGTGCAAAAGTGATGTATCACCTCATACTTAATTGAAAGACCTACCATCTTAATACCTTTTGATATCGCACATTGAAAATTACATCAAAAATGCATAAACTCAAAGTACTTACTTCATTTTTTTATTGTCTTTCAAACTCCATTACTTTTATGTTTAAAAATTATTTTTCCGTTTTCTTTTCTCTCTTCATCTATGTACTTCTATTAATGTTAGAGACTTTCGTTAAACAAATCTACCTAAATTAAGATACAAAGAAGTAATGAGAATCGATTTTTTTTAAATTAGATATGTAAAAATTTTTTAAATTTCATTAATTATATATCGATTATTTTTTTTATTTAACCGTGTAATTTTATATATTTAACATTTTTATTGAAAATGAATTTTTACCAAAAGATATGTTTTTAATATTTTTCTTTACGTCCTAAAATATAAGATATAATTTTTACGATTAGAAACAAAAATATACGCTTATTTTGAATATTAGTGATTCATATAAACTATTAAACTGCATGATTTATTCTTTCAAATTTTAACAGGACGTTATTTATGTTCAAACATTGAAATCTTTTCTTTAAATAATCCAAATTTTTATTTGAAGGATCTAATAGTATAAATCTTTTATAGAAAACAGGTCAAATTTTTTTAGAAAAAATTATCTTTTCTTGTGTGCCACTCAGGAGAATCTTGACAATGATATTTCCTCTGTTCTTCAATATTTTTCAATCGTTTCAAATCTTACTTTGACCGTACCTTTGTCACAACTCTATAAACTACACAATAAATATCTCAGCGATGTCAAGCAATAATATCCTAAGCAGTTACGTTCGTCTAAGCCTTGCATAATCAAAATATTTAATTTAAATCTTAACTGCCAATTCACATATACGTAATGCTTCATTGAATTACTTTTTCTTAAAAATGTCTAAAACCCATTAACATTGTTACTATTTATATATTCTGTACTAAACTTTTACGACCTCATTCACCCACTGGCATATTATGAAAGAATTTCTAAAATTTCTTTCCTTTTTTTTTTCTTCTTTTGTATCAGGAAAGAAACCTTCTCATAACAAAAAATCGATTTTGTAACCGTGAGGAAAAGGGAAAAATTGATAAAATGGGAAAACAAAAATATTCTTTCGTAGAATGGCGAGTTGAATTTGATTTTCATCTTTTCATGAGACTTGATGTTGCCATTGGAAGTTTCTGAAAGATGCTATATGCAGAATGCATGAAGGAGTCTATCTACTTGATATTCTGGTAAAGTACCACACGTTGATAGACTCGAAACTATTTCCTAACATTTTCAATTGGTTTATAATTATAATTTAAACGTTGTTACTTCAAACGTGCCTTGACGTATTTTAAAGATATTGTAAACATTAATACGGTTGATGACAAAAATGGCATTTGGCCAAGCAAAGAATGAGCCACAAACTATAAATCATAAATTTGCGGTGTTAAAAATATCCAACAGTCACTTATGTTTTGACGTTAACTCGACACGTCACTGGGTGAACTTCAGACGAATTTTATACTGTATTTATTTTCTCTTATAGACCTAAATCCAGATTTATTACAATATAACGTTGTTGTCTTTTATGTTACTCGTGTATAGGTTTCCAAATGCGATTTGACCATCTGGACGGCACATGAATTTCCTCTTTACAAATAATCTAAGTAAAATAAAATGCTGATGGATGTGCCGAAAATCGCAATAAAAATTAACAAAGAATATTGTCTCGCGGTCTCTTTGAACTTCTAATTTTACTTTCTCCTTTAGGAAAAATAATATATTTTTTTTTAATCTAAGAGAAACTATTCGAGAAATGATACTGATAAATTTAGATAAATTCCTATTATTTTATTATTAAATATTTGAATATTTTAAGTAAAACATTTAAGTTGAACATAAGAGATTCACAAATCTTGATCTCTTCCATTGCTATTACCATTAAGCAAATGGATTTCGATATGCTTTGTCATGCTAATGAATACTTCCTTCAATACTCTAGAACACCATATGTAGGTCAGCTTGACAAATTACACTCTAGAGACAGCATGGAAAGGTTCCATCATGTTTCCGGCTAATCATATCTAGCACTTGTTACAGTCAGAATTTCTGAAGTTCTTTGCCGAATCATTACTAATCCGGCCATTGAACTGAATCAAACTGATCACTTTGTATACCTGATGGAAGCCATAAAATTGCTGCTTAAGCCATAAAATCTTACTGGAATGCACTGGAATAGCTATATCTTAAGTTCGAACACTTTCTCCACTTAATGGAACACTTCTGTGACTAATTTTTTCTTCTACTAAGAATAATGTCGTTTGTCTCATAAAAGTCTTATTCAATTTTATTGTATAAATTTTAAATATGGCAGTTCATTTTTTAAATATAGAAATAAAATTCATTGAATATATGTTTTTTATATATTATATATATATATATTAAACAAATAATATTTCAGTTAATATTTCTTAATATAAAAATCTGACATCATTGTGCAGGAGCATCGATGCAATAAAGCGAATAAATTTTGTAATAATCGTTATGCTTCATCAATGTATTCTGCAGACAATAATAGTGATAACATCGAGGGTATCCGCATAACAAACCAGAGATTTAAGTTAAACAAGTGTATATGGCGTTCAAATTATCTGATTGCAGACTTGTCAAGCTGTCAGAAACACATGTAAACAGCGATTGTCTGCCAAGACACGAGCCTTATGTTGTGCCACCTAAATGTATCCAACCGTTGCCCGAAGCAGATACAGAATTAATATTATTTGATGTTAGCTTCGTACTCGACATTGAAAAGGTCATGGCGAATGTAATATTTTCAATGCCGAAATGAAAAATAGTTTTCATTTTAAATGCTTTTTTCCATTAAAAGGAAGCTAAATATATCCAGATATTTTTATATTATGAAAAATTCGGATGGTGTCTGTCTAAGTATCAAAATCATCGATCACGATATTGAATATTTGAGTGATAACTCCGGCTTTCCGGAGTGGTGTAAAATGACATCATTTCCATATCTAATCTTTAAAGGACAAACTAGTAAATCTTTCAGATTGTTGTGGTAGCATATTGCACCACAATTCAATAACGAAAATTTTTGTACAAAATTGCTTACACTCTCATATTACATACATCCAAGTTCTATTTTAGTTGTTGGCCCATTCGGCTAAAAGGCCAATAACCCACGTTTATTAATATCTAGTTCCTCATATAAAAATGTTTTCACTGTAAAATAGTTTTAGGTGAGCTGTAAATCGTATAAAAATATTTTCTAGAATAAGAAATAGCTTTAGATGCTATGTGTGGAAACAGATGAAAACAGTAAAAGAATGAGCAGAGAGACAGATGACGTCGTGACAAATTTATCAAAAATGATGAGAATATCATAATTTTACGAGCAGCGAGTAAGAGTTTATGTTGACGAACTCTTCTTTCATTTCCATTTGGAAAAGATAGAAAAACAAAATCCTTTCTTGACATATCTGTTTTTGTCACTTGAAAAGAAGCAAGCACTGTGTGTAAACATTTGACACCAGTTTCGAAAGTAAATGGATTCAATTCTTCAAAATAATCAGATTGATCAAAGAAAATTACTTCAAGTCCTTTATATAGAGATTTAAACTTTACTGGTTGCAATGACATAAATTTTCAACGATTTAATATATATATATATAACATATACTACGAAAATTCTATATTAAATATTCATATATTAAATGACGAATCTAGACAAGGTTTTACTGAAAATGAAATGAGAAATATGATAGGAGACGAAAGGAAACTGTAAGAGCTAAGACAACATTCCGAGCCACATGTTTATCTAATGGAGACTCTAGAAAATGTGTTCGTTTTACTTTAAACACGATCCTATGTGTGGTTAGCTGCTGACATGCGATCCTCCCTTCTCATCCAGAACATTCCATTAATACAATCCGAGATTGGTACAGAACAGAAGCATGGCAGATGCATTGTCTCCTGTCAGCTGTTGTGAAAGCTGCAGATTTTTTCAATATTTCCTGGAATATTTTTCTTCCGTTCTGATTTTAATGAATAAATTGCTGCTTTTCTTTCGGTTTACGTTTAATTAAATACTTCCTTCTCATCAAGTTCCGATTTAACTTATTCATATAGATGAAATATACATATTATGACCAAATACTGCGTTGCAGAACAATTGTGACGAAAAATGATGATCAAAATTTGATATTTAAAATAATTATCTAAAATTGCGAAATATTTTAAAATGAAAATGTTGATCTTTCATTATTCTTTTTACTATTACCTCAGCAAAATTCCAAGGATTCTACTTCTCGAAAACACATCAATCTTCTTGTGCAATATTCACTTTTAATTATCTATTAATAACTTAAATTATATTTGATTTAGTAACTTAAATTGCTATTAAAACCATTTTTATTTAATTACATTTTCTTTTATATCTGTTAAATTATTTCAGAACATATTGAAAAATTAAGCTTTTATTCAACAGTATCTTGTAACACAATATCTTTAATTTGATCTCAATTGTTAGCTGGTATACTATTTAACATTTCTTTGTACTTTGTCAAGATAAAACATTATATAAATTTGGTAACATTTAATTATTTCTACTTAAGAGAGGTAAACTTTGGCTCGTGATTTCTGCTAATAAACAGTAAGGAAGATTAAAGATAAAAAGTATTAATGTTGCAATAAAACGACACAACAGGATATTACACCGTAAAATAATTTTTTCTTTGAGGAAACTGATCAAATTCTAACTGAAAACATTTAATATATGTTAAGTTTTAGTTCAATTGTGATTTCTCTATAATGCTGTAAAAATAACTTAAGTATGCATATAGGATAATCCACGAAAAAAAAAAACATTTAAGAATGTTAATAAATACAAAACTTATTCAAGCACGTTATAAGTATAGCTAATTTTTTCATTTCAAAATTATTTACATATTATTATTTTAATGAAAAACTGTCAGAATACATTTGTGAACTTCAATTTGTAATCACATTTTAAAAACTGGATATTTTGGCATTCATCCCGAACAGACAAACTCTCTTTCTCTCAGATTCATCAACATTTCAAAAGTACTTGTATTATAAGCTAATTAAAGAACTTCATCATATAATATTCGCTAGTTTTGGAACAAATCTTCTAATATTAGAACTACTCCGGAGGATTTTTTTAAAATTCAAACACTGATTTCA